CCCGGTTTCCAGGTCGGGGGGAGGGAGAGAAAAAGGAGCTGCTGGCAGGCAGTCGGCGAGACCCAGCCAAATTTTGACCTCAGGCACCCAGTTCTAATGCCCAAACTGAGAACAAGTCTAGCCACTCTTCCCGCGCCAGAGAAGAAGAAGGGAGAAAGCAGAAATTAAAAATAAGAAAGACTGGACCCGGGTGTTTTAAATATCCAGCTCCAGTAAGTGGAACCAGGGTGGAAGTCTACCGTCAAAAAAAACCAAACAAGACTGGATGTCCTACACCAGTTCTGGAACACCTCCTCAGGCTCCGCGTTTCCTGGTGAAATGGCCGTTTGTGTTGTGGGTGTCTGGAGTGTGCGGTTTAAGGGCTAGGACAGAAACGATCACCTTCCAGTTGGAACTGTGTGCTGATGATTAGGCACTGCTCAACTGTCAGGGCGTGCTTGCGTGTGGAATTGCTGCTGCGGTTGGTTGGACATGGTTGGACTTATTCTCCGTTTGATGATCTTGATGATCAGCTGTAGGGTCTTAAGTGCAAGAAGTGGAGGATCTGGCAGGTTTCATGTAGACAGTTTTTACCGTCTCGTGGTCTTCCAAAGTCTTTAACAAAGATCATAGTTAAGGGATTGCAGTGCTCTATTAGGACTGTATTTTGCTGAGTGGGACACAGATCTTCTTTCAGGTGGACAGCACTTATGCTCTCCTACGTGGTGTTAAATTATTGGAGGTATGTGATGATTTGAATAGTATCATTGACCTTTTCTCCACCATTTTGCAATATCTGTCATATTACTTTGCAACTTTAAGGATATTGCATGTCAACTGTATTGCTGTTGTGACTCTGGCATAGCCAGTGGGAGTTCTGTGAAGAACAACTTTGACCCGAAAAAGTTAGTGATACAGTTTTGCATTAGTAATTTCTGGGATGCGTAGAGGATCTTTGCCTGGTCTTGTCTAAGTTTTCTTTAGATGTTTGGATTAGTTCTAGAAAGACATAAAACTAGTACCTCTTAGGCTAATGGTAGCCATGCTGGTTTAGCTCCTACTCATCATTAAAAAATTCTGCTCTTTTATGATCTTTGTGTTTATTATAAGATGACGATGTTTGACAGTTGGATGTGGGCTGTGCATTGAGTACTACTGCGTGGCATATGAGTGATGTTGCTCAAGTAGTAACCTGGCATGGAGGTGTTCCAGGAGAGAGCAGACTTACAACCCAGTTTGCAGTCAACTTTAGGCCCAGTCATTTTGCAGGCATTTGCATGGATGAATGTGAATTGGTAGTACTGTGGTTCAAAGCCTCTGAATCACTTCCTTTCTTTGTTACTCCATTTGAACTACTTTTGCTTATCATTGTATAATATGGAAGAATTGTATCCACCAGAACAGGTAGGTGGAAGTATGGCTATTCTTTTCTTGTTGTGTGAGGTGTTTGGAATATGACCTGCTCAACTGGTCATGGTGTAAAATCTTCATCTATGTGTTGGACATGTGGGAAAAAGTACGTGCAGGGCTTAGATTATCAATCCATCTACATTTTGTATCTCGCACTGTGAAGTTCTTCTTGATGGAGGTCAGAAGAAATGTCTAGAAAGCTGAAGAGTTTGTATGTCTAATAGGTAGCAAGTGTGTAGATGGTAGTAGCTTCATTTAAAAAACGACTCAGCTTTGCCTCCCTGCTCTTTCCCGTCCCAGAAAACCAACCGCATCGAAGGGACTCACTAGAAAGAAGCTCTCACAGCTGTGATGTCCCACACCAGTTAGCACGTGAGATGAAGTGCTTTGTGCCTTCAGAGCTGTCACCTCCGTTCTCGCTTGGATACACCATTCTTTTCAGTCCTCCTGAACAAGTAAAACATTATGTGGATGGCAGGGTGACTGTTAAACAGTTTCAGGATTTTAGTTTGAAATACATTGGGGCTATTGGTGTACATAAATAATTTGGGACTTATGGTGACATTCCAAAGGTATACTACACTCCTGATTCCTCTTTGACTCCATTAGTAATATCTGAGTCCTTCAAGGGCTCTTACTGAACTTCAGCAAATAAGACAATAATTACCTCGGCAGTTTGGAGTATTTAATACTGCCTGCAAAATTATTTTTGTTAAAGCCAATCATGATCTGGGAGCCATGATAAAGCACATTAAAAAGTACAGTGTGTATTACCTATACTAGCTTCTCATATTTTGGTGGCACTCAAGAAACTTAAGTATAAAATTTTAAGTTTTGGAAATAGATGTGCATATTTATCCTGTCAGTTTATTCATTTTCTACTGTCGTGTTATTTTAAAAGGTTTTTCAACCTTTTAAACTTAAAGATAAATTCAATTAATATCTTTATATTGAAGCAAAATAAGATCACAGACAAAATAACCTCAGTGTTTGGTTAACTAGGTGCCTTTTTCTAGTTAGAAATGTCTTCTAATCACCTGAAATACCTCCTATTATATTTCTTTTAGGACTGTGAAACAGGTACCAATTTATTCTAGAAGCAAAAGAACACTCATAAAAGAACCATGGTGCATATTCCTTAGAAATAACAAACTGAAAATAAATGACTGACAAAAGGGTATTCACAGTGGCCTTCAATAAGGCAGCCCTGTCTTGCTTTATGATCCAAATACACTGTTGGATACGTTCGTAGGAAATCCTCATTAATTTGGTAACAAACAGAAAGGGTAATGTATTTACTTGTAAATACCAAGGTTGTTGATTCACATTAAAGTTGTTGTCAGTAATTTAAAGTAATCTCTTGTATTTTCCATGTACAATTTAATTCTCACATTATCTGAACCCAAATAGTTCTCTCACAAAGGCTCTGGTATTAAAAGTATGTGAGATGGCTTTAGAGGGAAAAAAATTCAATATGAACAGTGCACCTAACTTTATTTTTCCTAGCACAGAGCATCCCGTTTACTGGAATAAAATTCCACTTCATTAATGAATATATGAATCAGTTATCAGTGTCATAGAGATGCTCATGAAGCTGACTTTGATGCTTTTTTTTATTTTTTTTGGGGGGGGATTATACACAATAAACACAATTAGACATTCAGGGATGATGATTTTGCAATATGAAGTCTTATTTTAACGTTGTCTCAGATTATATTACAACACCTTAGGTAAGTGTTCTAAAGATTATAGCTAAATCTCTGAAGGGGACTGTCACATGCATATATTTCTGGATCACAATAGTAAAATCAGTCTTTAAAACTCAGCAGTTTTTGCATTAAAGTGTTGCTCTGTGTGGAAAAGTGACGTTTTAAAAAATGGCATCTTCTCACTGAAATGATACGATGCCCATGGAGAGGAGGCTTGTCCACCATAGTGACAGGTTTCAGTTAAATCTTAGTCTGTTTATGCAGCTGTGTAAGAATGAGCTGCAGTTTATTTTAGCTCATGTGATCCACCAGAAAGATAATGTATTTCCAGATGAGTTACAACATCTCTCATTTATACCTGCACTCAGGTACCAGCAAAGTCAAAACTTGAAGATAATAATGGCACAGTTTGGCCTGCTGAATCCTTTTTACATGTGGAGACATGCAAATGGGAGAGAACACGGCCGAACTTTTGGATGCTAGGTGAGGAAATGCAAGTGTTTGAGCAT